TCATGGGTATCCGATAGCAATCTGAATGATTTCAAAGGAAAAGATTTCCATGACTTTGAGGTTTTAAGAAAAGGACTTCATGGGTTTTTCATACAATGATGGTAATGGTTCGGGGCCGTGCAAGTGCGTACGTGCATTTTTAGAGGCTCGGTAAGGTGTGTCCGTGGATGGGTCCGGTTCGCCGGACATATGTGATGGAAACCCCGAAGTACCTAAATGAGACATGTCCAAAGACGAAAAAAGATGTTCGGACTCGTTTATGAAATGTTTTATAACATAAGAAAAAATGATTCATTATGCATATCAATGTCTTAGGCATACATACACATGCACTTACACTACATGCATATGTTAACTTACCGGGTCGTAGCTCATACAATTTCTTATGGTGTAAATAAATAAGATACTATGGCTCACTTCTTTGCAAAGCCGACTACCGAGGAGGCATCGGACGCATGTAGCTTAGATGAGGGTTTGACTTTCGGATAGACCCGTTACATAGAGTAGTTGACATAAAATCGATCATGTATGTAAGTAGTTAAGGTGTGTAATCGAATCGGTAATAATAAATAATAATATCATAATAGTAGTATAATTACTTTAAATTATCCACTCGCATATTGACATGATTAGAAGTTTAGTAAACATGTAAAATGAAATAAATTAAAATAAAATATCATGATAAATAAATGCTACATAAACGAGAAAAATTTATAGCAAAGTTGAAGTAAGAAATAGGATCCGAATGTCGTTAAAAGATTTTTGTCACGTAAATATTCTTACATATGTTACAATGAGATCATAGTGCCTTGTTAGCTTACATTCATTGCACTTCGAATGTGGCTAACGACGGTAATATTCTCAACTTATTAGGTCCTAGATCGGGGGTGTTACAACCGCCACATAGCAATTTTTATTGATATGTAGCAAATCTCACCGGACACATAAGCAAAATTAGACATGTTTCAATGCCTAGTCTTTGATTCTTTTTCTATTCGAGTGTCCAACAATCACCCGAGAGTATAAATTACCGACATGTTGGTAGAGTTAATTGTCGCGTGGTATAATTGATCGCCACGTGGTATTATTTTTTTACTTTCATGTGTATATCTCATCGAACACTTTAGTAAAATTAGACTTCAAGTGAATTCGAACACCAAAACAAATAAAAAAATTCAAAACTTAGGTAACAAATCATTAGAAATCAAGAGTTAAACATCAAAACAGGAAAAGAAAAAAAAGAAGTAAAAGTTGAACATCAAAAAAGTCTCTCTCTCTTTTTTGTATAGTAGAAGAATGATCAACTTATACTAAGGAGAAGGTAATCAGATTTTTTTTTTAAAAACAAATTCGACACCTATTTACAAATTGAGAATTTCTTTTGGCGAAATAGTTCGAGTGAGGGGGATCTTGTTAGAGATTATTATAAATTATATTTTGGGACCTCACCTATAAGCTTAAGCTTTTAGGTGACATGGTCATTTAATATGGTATCGAGCTTGATTGACTAAGAGGTTCCGAGTTCAAGTCTCACAATTCCTAATTTCTTAAGTATTAAGCATAAGGCAATGTGGACTCGTGTAAGTTTTAAATCCAAATGTTAGGGCTTTCACTTGAGGAGATGTGTTAGAGATTATTATAAATTATATTCCGAGACTTCACCTATAAACTAAAGTTTTTAGGCGATATGATCCTTACTTAAATAGAAGGAGGTCTCGCGCACGGTGATGTATATGCAATCATGTCTAACGATGATTCAATGGAAGTTTCTAGAATCATGCTTTCATCAAATTCTTATCTTTTGTGTCTAGAGCACGAAGAAAGAATGAGAATTCTATTCGGGATATTGGATCGTACCGTTCATGCGATCATAAAATCTCCCATTATCAAGGAAACAATTAATTCCAACTATGATTGTATTAGGGACTTGACATCTCTTTATAAACAAAAAAGACGGTCGTAGAGCTATTTATATAAATATATCGGATATAATATTCAACAGCATATATGTTAGATGTAAGATTTAACCTGATTTTATCATATAAACGAAACTCTAATCGGTATTTTCGATCATAACCAGTGCATGATTGTCCTTGAAAATAACACCCATTTATGGTCCCGAAAGATATTTCTACTAATTAAATATTGTGAAATTGCAAGTGGGTTTCCATTATTCATTAGGTGCATCATTGCTGGTAAATTTGCTTCTTTTGATGATTAAAAAATAGAAAGGATACGCTTTTTAATTTAATTTATTTTATTTGGGGGGAAAGTGGTAAAAGGTTCATGGAAAGGGACATTGCATTTGCGATAGCTTTTTTCTTATTTTCTTTTTTAAAATATTTTTGGCGAGGCCTTAGTTATAATAGATGCAAACTTTTAGATGCGAGGATCCCATCCGTGCTGCAACGATCAAGTTGAAAGTAATTAAATTATGAAATACTATTATACTCCTATTAGTACCACTACGATTCTATTTCCAATTAATGGGACGAAATTTGGAAATAAATATCATTAGCTCTGATTATGATGTCTGCGGCAAGAAAAACGTGAAGTGACATGTTAAAACATTTGGTAAAAATTTAAGATTTTTTCTTTTTAATTTTTTGAATTCAAGTCTTTTTGAACAAATTTATTCTTTTAAATATGTCTGGTTAATAAAAAAAATGTACTTTAATATCATTAAAAAAAATAATTTCAATTAGTACACAAATTGATTATTTAGAGAATGGATTTGATTCTACTTTTATCCGTTCCGTTTGAAGAGAGAAAAGATTTCAAAGAATCGATCTGTTTTTAGTTGTTGAATCTTTTTTTAATTGATCAATATTTAGATCATTATAAACCTCAGGAGTCAAATCTAATTGGTCAATAAATATATATATTTCAATGCTATTTTTTTTATTCTTTTTCTTAGTTTAGCCAATCTATCATGAAAGCAGAAACAAATGAAGTAAAATTGCGTTAATTTTTTCTAAACAGAAGTTTTCTTCTTTTGCATGTAAAAAAGAAATAAACCAATCAAATTCCTAATCAAATAGATGGATCCAAAAAAATGTTCAACAAAATGTGGAAAATACTTGTTGAATTTATCCCAAATAGAAGAAAGAGGGGCAAGTAAAAGAGGAAAAAATAAATACGAAAATCAAAGAATGATAGAAATTATTATTCATTAAGGTAAAATTGGATTTGACCCTCAACATTTAAGATATCACTGCCTGGTGCAAATTCAAGCAGCCGTATGCGGTACAGTATAATTTTTCCTAATTCCAAGTATGAGTGTATTTCATGGAAGCGCAGCCTAGATGGTCAATTCTCTGACAAAGCAGCTTTGATTTCTCTAATAGAAAGTGACATAATTGAGTTGGCTGGTTCAGATTCCACGGTCAGGGGCCCTTAACGTATTGCGTAGCCTGGCTTTGCAATCCTCAACAGACGTTCTACGAGAAACAGACAGACCAGATACTTGGAGGAATGCAATAAGTCCACGTTTTTAGTTACGTAATAAGGCCATGGAAATCATGACCATATGTGTATGTTTTTGCTTGTTCAGATCAAAATTCCTAGTAGTAATTTTGATGTTTGTCAAAGGCAAAAGCACTATATTTTCTTAGCAATTTCCCTGGAAGTTAACAATTAGCCACCGTCCGATCCTCCAACCCCACACACGCCCCAAAACGCAGCATCAAAGCCAAACTTTTGTCACTAATAAGTTACATCAACTGGAAGGAGAGGAGAAGATTTGAGAGAGAGATGAAGGACAACGAAAGCAAGGGTGAGAGATGGTTGGAATTTTTTATGTCGGTAACTAACCAACTTTCAATTCCTTGAGCATATCGGTGCTGTTGGCTCCTTTCATTTTTGGACTAATAGTGCAGGCAGCCAACGAACTTTCAAGTCTCTCCCACTCTAGTAGACCAAATGTTAGCTCAATAGAAGACAACAAATAGAAGGGTGGTTGAATTTTATAATATATATATTTTTAATTACATCTTTGCATGACATTTTCTTTTTCTTTTTTTTTCTTTTTTATATTTTATAAGCCTAAAGGAATTCATTAAAGACACTAATTAAGGGCACGAATAATTAAGCAATAAAGGCAAATAAACAAATACGATAGGAGACAAAACAAAAACGCAAAACATGCTACGTGGAAATCCAAATTCACACAGCACAAAACAGCTATACAAGATCCCAAAGAATATTAGTACAATTTGTTTTCATTCTATTAATAAAAAATTAGCCTTTTTCCCCCTTAATACTTTATCATCAAAAAATTAAATTGTCAAGTAAAACGGTTGGGTGAATTTCTATTAATTTATTCACATTTGATCGAGTGAAAATAATGATTTGATTCTTTAAATTTGCACTAGTTTATGCTATCTTATATCTTTCCATATCTTATTAAAAAGCAAATTTCAATTGAAAAATTTCTTTTTTTTTTTTTCAAGATGAGACCCAACAACCAATAATGTTTTTATATTATTAACTCATTATTACGATAAATGATGCATCAAAATGGAAAGAAATATTTGTATTTTGTGAAATGTTTTAGCTAACCTTACGAATTAATTAATTAAATATTAAAATTAAACTAGCCAGAAATAATCTATCTCTAATTCTATTTATCTTTTAAAACAAAATTATTGAATAATACATGACAGAGAATGTATGTCGTTATTTGGGCAACTTGACCTCCATTTTTTAAGGTGCAAAACTGGAAGGACAGAGCACGTTGGCAAATTTGATAGCAGGCATTTAATTTTCATAAATGTTTGGGGTCCTTTCCTGTAGCGATGAGTGATGAAGTGGTCCTATTTATAGATTGCACGTTCCATTCTATCTTTTGCATGTATTATTGGTTCAGATCAATAAGAAACAGTGATCTCACAGTAAGGGACACCGAATCTATACACGCCATCAATAATAAAATCCAAGAGAGAGCAGATTCGCAATCAGAGGATAGATTGTAGCTAGTCAGAGCAGCGAGCGAGGGAGACATGGGAAGAAAGCCAAGATGCTCAAAGGATGGTTTGAACAAAGGAGCATGGACACCGCATGAAGATGAAATGCTTGTGGATTATGTCAAGATCCATGGTGAAGGTAAATGGAGCAATATTGTCAGAGAAACAGGTAATTAACTAATTATATATGTTCATCTAGTCTTGCCATATTGTGCATGAGAATTTGCTGCTATTCGCAATAGGATGGAATAATTGAGTTGCATCTTATTCATGCATGTATATTGTAGGACTTAAGAGATGTGGGAAGAGTTGCAGGCTTCGTTGGATGAATTATCTGAGACCAAACATTAAGAGAGGCAACATCTCTGATGATGAAGAAGACCTCATTATCAGGCTACATAAGCTCTTAGGAAACAGGTACTGTGTGCGTGCATTATTTCTTTCTTTAATTCAAATGGTTATAGAGTAGTATAAATTTTTTGTGGAGATGAATGAGTGAACGAAGCTTAGTATGAAATTTCCCTTCTTTTTTTGCCACCAGATGGTCTCTGATAGCAGGAAGACTTCCAGGACGAACTGATAATGAAATAAAGAATTACTGGCACACCAATATTGCTAAGAAGGCACAACTTCAGAGGCAGCCTAGAATTGATAAAAAACGAATAGCACCAGGATCTCCAAATGGGACAGCATCAAATTTCAAGATTCAGAGCATTGAATCCCAGTGCACTGCTGAGGTGGCTGTTACTACTACTGTATCAAAAGAAAACAAAACGGCTCAAGATCTTCAAGATAGTACTCTTGCAATGGCACCATCCAGGACGCAAGAAAATGAAACATCAAGCAAGGGGTTGGCATCTGGGGATGATGATAACTCATCCAACATTGTGATGGATGATAATTATATGGAGGACTTCTGCAAGATTCTTGATTCAGACTTCCCAAAGCTAAGTGACATCAATGACATAATTACCACTAATCATCATTCCAATGATACCCTAGAGGTAGATGGCGATCGTTATAGTGTCTCTATCAACGGATGCAGTACAAGAGAAATAGCAGAATTTCCTGAGAAATTATTAGAGGCAGATTGGTCTAGCAATAAATGTGTTCAAGCTGACCAAGGTTTTGATTTCATGTCATTGCTTTCATTTCTTGAGCCAACTGATGAGGATTGGACAGAAGATGCTTTAGGCTCAATTCTACGTTAAGTTGCTTTCATACCCTTCTCCTCCTAGCTTGCTAAGAAATCTGGAGGTTCGAACCTTTCCTCTATGCATCCAACCTGTTGTAGCATAATAAATATGGTTGAACTGCTTACTTAGTTACAGCTATCTAGCAACCAATAAATTTCTCTCTAGATTTGAAAGAGGGTCACATGCAGCTTCCATCACTGTCTTCTTCACTTTTTTTTTCCTTTTTTTTTAACTTTTACTTTGTTTGGGCAATCAAAATAAAATCGAACTCTACGTTTGTCATCTCTTTCTGTGGATACATGAATCCTGAATGTGGTCTGAGGAAATTGTGACCGCTCAATATGTGGAAAATTTTTCGTTGGTTAATCATTATTGTTGCATGTGTAAATTACAAAATCAGCTCGTTAATCATTACTTTTTGTTTTATTAAAAGGATGGCCCCATCTGTTAATTAAGAAGGAGAAGAATGAAGGGAAAAACTTACTGCGCAATCAGTTACTTGTTACATCTAGAAACTTATATACACTTAAGCTATTATCCTTTATGCGTCGGCTAACTTATTCGCACAAATTATGTTATATTATTTAACTAACTAATTACAAAATTATAAATACCCTCTCCATACCATCCCCACGACTAATTAAGAAGACCATGAACAATTACAGTAATTATAAAAGAAGATATTTTCAGTCATAGAAGAAAAGAAACGAAAACAGTAATATGAGCGTGAAATCGATTTTGAAAACTCGCATAAAAATTTAGAATTTTGGATTGTAATAGTTATTTAAAATGGGATCAGAGGGTTTTTAACACATAGTTTTGACAATTGCTATTCTTGCATTAACAAAATTAATTTATGATAATTTTGGTGGCGTTTGTGATATATTTTTACTGACGATTGGATCTACTGAAATTATGGAAAATGTCCAGTAAATTTTAGTTGTATTTGGCCTATTTGTTGAGAGATTAAATGTTGGTAAAGATAAATCAGAATTATCACTGAAGTTGATGTCCGTACGTAAAGGTAAATCATGATTAGCCTTAGTGAGATTCATGTTATTCCACAAAGGGTATGCTTGTCCATCAATTTATCCATCTCCTAATACTTTTCATTATGTTTTTCGTATGTATAATTAGATTGTTCATAACGTAACTCATAAAATCCTCGTGACTTATTATTGTTTTGACAATTCTAAGACAGATTTATCGGGAATTATCATTATTTTGACAAATTTAATTATTTTATAAATTATATCCGAGATTACTTAGACAATCCCAACTCTTCCTTTTAATAATATAAAAAGATTTTTTTTCAAAAAAAGAAAAATTACTTTTAAATAACCGATAATCATATAAAACAAAGGTAATATTTGCTTGAATTAACGCTATTAGATCATATATTGATAGTGGGTACTGCTGAATTTGTCATATATTTTGTTATTCTTATCAATTTTTTCTTATAAATTACTAATAAATTCTTATATTTGGTTATTGCCTAATTTCTAACTTGATATGATGGTGGTGTATCGATAATTTATAACAAAAATCTTAGTGAAAATAATAAAATATACAGTAGATTTAACAGTACTCATTGATAATAATATTTCCTTCAAAATACTAGTATATATAGCTATCAAACAGTTGCCATTGGAACTCGTCTATGAATAAAAAAAGAAAATTATAAAATAACAATAATAGTTAGGTGTAAACCAATATGCTAAGATAAGAAATTAAAGGCCTATGGGATAGAAATAATGATTCATAAATAGAATTCAGGTTCGAATTCCATAGATAATATGGATAGTATCAATAATGATAGACAAATAAAAGGCTTCATAGAGTCATTAAAACAACGACACATATCCCGAAAATTCTAAACACAACACATGTGTCGTTCTTTAAGTTTCACGTGTCTCTCATGTGGGTCTAATGTAGTTTAAGATTGATCGACGAAATAAAAAAAAAAAATTAAAGACCCAAATAAAAAAAAGATTAAAACCTTTTTTTTTTTTTGACAAATAATTTAGAGTACTTTATAACTAATTAATCTTAGTTCGAGTTAAACAAAGGATGTATGTATGAATAATTTCTCTCACTTGTATATTCAAGTTTCGGCTCTTTCTTTTATAGAGTTACAAGTACATATATGGTATAACTCTAGAGATTTAGAAGATTACCTAATTAGTAACAACTGCCGATAAGAGTTACGGTTCCTACCTAGCACCAATATTATTTAGAGATAACACCTTAATGTGATGATAATTATCGAGGGCAATCGTGGTTATTGTTGTTACTAAAGGAGATGCGACTCATTGCTATTGTTGAAGGAGATGTGGTTCTTCGCTATTGCTTGAAGGAAAAGTAGTCGTGGTTACTCGTTACAAAAGAATCATGTCTTAACACTCCCTCACAAATTAACGGTAGGCATTCATCAAGTCTTAGTTTGTCTCTTAAGAAAACAAACCGTGTACTAGACAAAGACTTTGTGAAAACATCTACTATTTAATCCTCGGCTAGAGATAAATCACATCCGTAAGCTCCCCTAGTAACCAAGTCTCCGGCAAAATAAAAGTCGATTTCAATACATTTCATACACGCATGGAAAACTAGGTTAACTACTAAGTAGGTGGCTTCTATATGATCACACTAAATTGTAGGAACTATATGTTGATTGAGACCAAGTTTGGCTAAGAGAGAATTCATCCAAGAAAATTTGACAACTAAATCGATTCATCGCCTTATACTTTGCCTACATAGACTACGACGTATAATTTTTTACTTATAAGATTTCCTAGAGATCAAATTTGGACCAAGGCATACAACACAACCACATGTGGATTTTCTATCTAAGGTGTTGGTCCAATTAAAGTCAGAAAAATCTAGAAAGACAAATGGAGTTGGACTTGCGAAGGTGGAGACCATGATTAGCGATATGTTTCATGTAACACAAAATATGTTTAATAGTAATCCCATGATCCGACCTTGGAGCATGCATAAAATGTCGGACTTTATCTACTCGCATAAGCAATATTAGATCGGGTCAAAGTGGCATATTGCAAGGCTCCTACCACTTAATAGTAAAGAGAAGGGTTTTCAAAGAAAAAGCTATCGAGTTTCGGATAATTTAGAGGTGGTTGGCATAGGTGTAGAAACCGGATCGTAAGACATCATTCCATGCATAGACAAAAGATCATTTATGTATTTTTGTTGAGAGAGAAGTATAACTTATATAGTTTTAACTACTTTAATTCTCAAGAAGAAATTGATATCACCAAGGTCTCTTGTGACAAATCGAGAGTTCATTGTTGCTATCACAGATTATAAGAAAAAATATTGGTTACCTATGATTAAAATATCATTGACATAAATAAGGAGGAAGACCTTATAATTATCCACATAGTAGACAAATAAAGAGTTAGTTTTAGAGCTAACAAATCCAAAAGCAAGTAGAAACTCCCGAAGACATGAAAACCGGGCCCACGGTGATTGCTTCAAGCCATAAAGCGATTTATGAAATTTACAAATGTTAATACCCAATTGTTTCCCCCATTATTTATTTTGATTATTCTAATAATAAAAAAAATAAATGCAAAAAATAAATACAAAAAATACAAAAAAAGAGAGTAGAGAAATCAACTTACATAAATAGTTCAAATTTGCCTAATTAAAAAAAAAAAGAGAAGAAAGTTTGAGAACCAAAATAAACCCGATCAAGAGTAAATTTTTTTAAAAAATACCAAATCCCTAAATTAAAAAAAATCGAGGTATATGATTAAAAAAAAAAACTTTAAGAAAGGCCCTAGTTAATTATAATTTGAGGTGTCATTGAAGTTCCGGAAGAGAACAAAGTTTGAGAACCAAAATCAATTTTTACACCAATATTCTAATTCATACCTATAAAAACCCATTTTTCTCTTCACACCCATAAGCCTCTATCTTTCTTAAAAAATCCAGCAGCCATTTTTCCCTCTCTAGTTGATTTTGAAGCCCTCCCATCATTCAAATCCACAAAACACCACCATCTTTCCATAACCCAAACTATCACCAACCATTAAAACCACCATTAACCTCACCCCTCAACTTGGCCAACCACCACGACATTCTCCACACATCTAGTCATCATCCATCGCTTAAAAAAAACACCCAAAAAACCTTTACAAAAAACTCCATATGAAAGAAATTAAAAAAAAGAAAAAAAAAGCCAAGCGACATCTAAAAGATCTATTAGGCTCGAATAATGACCACTTAGACCCGTCAAACTTCTTCTACTAAACCAGCCATCTTTTGCTCGATATTGCTTCTAATCACTATTACCAACAGATAGCCTAACTCTAGATCAACTCATCCCCACCGATTAGAGGAGAAGAGGACATCAAAAGAGGGAGAAATCAAAGGTAGAACCATTGTAACCCAACTCGGATAACAACATATAAATATGTCCCAATTTTGACTAAATTGTCGACTTCCACCACCACGAATTGGTCATTCTCCTCCCATGAGTAATTCCCTCTCGAATTCATAACCAAAATTAATCAAAAGATGGATTAATTAGTGGCAACCCATTTTCTAACCCATTTTATGCAACTCGATAAAATTGATCGATCAATGCCAAATCGAACCTCCTAACCAACATAGAAATACTTCCCGAACCTCATAAGTCAATTGATGCCCTTAAATAATATCACTATAATCTTTATCGAAAGAGAAGAGGAATCAACTAAAACTTTAAAGCCGTTGATCTCCCTCATTTGATGTTAGCGACAACTTCCACCTCTATGTACGAGTCGATGACGGTCCCTTCTACCATGCCTCTCTGCCACATAAGCTAGTTCACATGTTTGAAGGATCACCAAATGGTAATCAAGCAATTGTTAGTAGCGTTTCATTTTCTAAGGGCATTTTAATAATTTTTAATGTAGGGCATTTTTGTAATTTTCATATGTAGTGACATTTTGTTCATTTTATAAATAGCTAGTGGCATTCCAAGTCACCATACGAGTAGCCTCCTTAATACC